TATTAGCAAGCAAGAAAAATCCGAACCCAACTCGACCCACCACGAATGGTTGGTTAAACAGGTTGACTTACTGGTTTATTTAATTACAATTTTTTTTTAAATAAAAAAAATTAAAATTACAACCATTTTGTAATTCAAATCTAAATAAATTTTATTCCCAAAATGATCATAAACTCAATACATGAGAGTATTTTTTATGGTTTCATAAAATAATAAATTAGTAAAATAAAATTAGGTGGATTTGTGAGCTAACCCAACTCACCACGAATTGAACTCGGATGAGCCGAGTTTAAATGAACCGGATTGAAAATTGACCTGCATAAAAAAATACATTTTTTTCAAACTCAACCCAACTCAAACTCGTGGTGGACTGGGTTAACCTACGAGTTATAACCCATTTTGGCAGCTCTACCCAAAATGATCTGATAAGCTTGAGATTCAAATATCACATTTGTATGAAATATTAATGTCCCTCAAATTAGAGAAAAATGATTTTAATGATAATATAAATAGGATTTAGATTATGGTAAATTGAATTTAATTATTATATTTGTTAATGTATTATTATGTATTGAATTAATTTTATTTGTCATTATACAAACAAAATTATACAATACAGATCAATCATTCAACACAAGTTCAAAGCGGACGGATGGTTGATCAATCCTCCAAAACTTTCGAAATAACGTATACCGATCGGTCACCAAACATGTTAATAACCGTTTGTCTTTTATATTAAAAACTGTGATTAATTAGATAAAATATGCTTACGATATATTTGATCAATCAATAACCAAAAGTTTATTTCAAAACTTATAAATACAAAAATAAAATAAAAAAATGGGTGGATTGTAATTATTAGACATTTAAAACTTAATTATAATAATCAATTGATAGTTGAATACTGACATTAACGTCAAAGTGCGTTCAATATCACCGCTCGTACTTGAACTATACGAGTATATTCTATAACACATTAGAGAAAGTAAAGTGAAACTAAGAAAAGTGTTTCTTTAAATAGTGAAAGTGTAATTATCGACTATACGTACTGAAACAAAAATATTTTTTATTCTTCCTTTACTCTTATACTAAAAAAAATATTTTTAAATATCGTAATTATTTAAATGGACTTCTTTTATGTGACAGATCGAAGCTCGAACTTCTAAAAAATTCTTATTAGTTACTTGAAAATTATTTACATTAATAACATATAAATAATATTTTTATAAATTATAGGTAAGACTTGTGTATTTAGTATTATAATATGGATAATATTATATATATATATATATATATATATATATATATATATATATATATATAATATAATATGATATAAATTAATTTAATGATTGATACTTTAGCAATATTTTTCATTTTAACATGTTCTATATGTTTTAAATATAAATACAAATAAACATTTACTAACAAAAAGATGTGAGATTTTGATAACTTCTATTACATAAAATTTTTGACGTATAAAAGTAACGTGTAAATTAATATTATATATTAAAAGAATCATTTATTATTCTGATATATGATATGGCATTGTTAGTGTATATTTAAAATTTTATATTAATTATTTTATGTTGATAAATTATGTGTGTACCAATGGAAACAGTTAATACAGGGTCAAACTATTCGTGTGGCATTTGTATAACGTGTATAATACAAGTGTATTTTTTTTGTTTTTAACAAATGATATATATGATTTTCGAGATTATGTAATGCATGATTCAATTGTTAATTTTCTCTCATTCATAGTTTTTGAAATTTATGAAATAAAATAAGTTTTTCAGACTATTTCTTTAAGAAAAAAACAAACCTTGAGCATGCGTTGTTGAATACGGCGGAATTGATTTTCAATTGAAAGAAGACAACGAAAATATCTATTTGACATTATATTAGCGTCAACTAATATATGGAACAGTACACAGATTTAGAGACAAAACAATTGTCAACAAGAATTAAATATATATATATATATATATATATAATATATATAATTTATATTTAATTTTAATGGACAATTATATAACATAAATATGTTTATCTCTAAATTTGTATTAAAATTAAACTTAATTGTTTTAAACAAATTCCAAATTTAAGTATTCATATGAAAAGAGATTTTTTATCAAAAAAATTGAAATAAGCAACTTGAAATTGAGAAAAAAAAATTGGTAAAAGAAGTATTATCAAACATATGATTATGAATAGTGGTATAATATTTGCATGTGTAACTAGGGACACAATGGATCGAAATGGAAGTGATGATGTATATCCGTTACTTCTTCTATCTAAGAAGATTCTTAAATTTTTTAATGCTCTCAAATATTAAAACCTATAAATATTTTTGTTTTATTTTATTTTAATTTTAAATAAATTTATTTAAAAAAATCTTTAAAATATAAATTTGGATAATAAAATTATTATCAAAGTACAATTTAAATAAAACTGTATCCTATAATATTAAAGCAAATTGATTTGTTCTTTCTGAGATATAAATTTAAACGAGTCGAAACAAATATGAATTGAAAAAATAATCTTTTTAAAAGTAATATTAATTTTATATGTTTAAATAAAAAATAAAAATATATGAAATTAATTCTAAACAATTTATTACTTATTAATATTCATTATGATAATTTAATTAAAATGTATCAAATAAATTTTATTAAAAATTATTAGGAATGACAGATATTTATGGATTGAAATTAAGCTTAGGTTTTTAAACAAAATTCCAAATTTGAGTATTCATATGAAAAAAAGGGCTATAAAAAACTTGAATACGAATAACCAATTAGAATTTTCAATAAAAAATAATCGTGAACAAAAATTAGTAAATAATTTGCATCAATATTTGTTTTTATCGATACAAATATATATATATATATATATATATATATATATATATATATATATATATATATATATATATATATATATATATATATATTTTTTTTTTTTTTGTAATAGAGTCCTTGATATTCTAGCCCATTTACATTATGTACATAATAGACCTTCGTAGCATTAGTTCGAGTCAGATTTGATGAAATAAAAGGCGTATTTGTTGAGAAAAGTAAAACATGTTTTCTTATTGATTTTTAAATACTAAAAGAATGATTAATTCTTAATTTTATTTTAAATATGAATTTAATTTTTAATAACATTTTGTTTGAATCTTTAGAAATACGTCCAGATACACAAGTTTCAAAAGAACCAATACGGTAACTATAAAATACTATTCCACCAATGGTATGAACAAATTACTTATTAACGGTGGAATAGCAAGTTGCAACAAAAATAACACTATTTGAAGCCCAGAGTCAATGCTACCAAGTTCTTTTATATATCACCCTCAATTTCGATCCACCTTCTTCCAATACTGCCATCCATTTCATCCTTTTCTTCTTCCAAGATTAATTACATCAATTTTCTAAAAAACAAAAGGTACTCTCAATTAAACTATATATATATATAATTAAAAACTTTGAATGATTATTTTTTAAAATGAAAAAAACATTTCACCTGAACAGAAATTTATAAATTATACCATAGTATTTATTTTTTCTTTTTGCAAAACTTATAGAAAGGAAGCTTTAGTTAAAAATATTATGACTACAAACAAAGAGCGGTTTTTGTCATTTATTGACGCTGACAATACTTTTGGTTAGTGTTTATAATAATGTACAAATGGAGGAAATATTATAACAACAGAAAGTCAATTTGTTTGACTTTGATGATACTGAGCACAATACATCTCATAATGAAATCTTGGTAATTCCGTTCTCGTTTATAAAAGGAATACATTAATTTTTTAAATATCAGTAATTTTTAATTTATTTTATTTTATTTAAAATAATATTTTAAAAATACACTAAATTTAATTAATTTCATTTATTCGAACATCTCAAAACTTCGAGGGTATCGTTAAGCTATTAGGGACGAAAATTGCTGCAGAGTTTGTTTGTGTGATCCAGTAAGCATAAACTTTCTGAACTCTTTATTGATTATTATTAGGGAAGCTAAGGTTCTAATCTATCTCAAAGTTAGGTATGTTTGAAATTTCTATTATAAAGGAAAAATAGAATGAGGACAAAATTTTCCTTTTTAAACAAGAGAATTATATCCCAATTATAAAATATCTTGTATTGATTAGTTTATTAATTTTTATAATAATTATTATAAAAATAAACTAAACAAGTAAATTAAGCAATATTCATTGTCATTTCCGTGTTCCTTCCAAACCTCAAGCCGAAAACATACGCTGTCCATTGTCAACAAAGAACACAGACACAAACCTCGGCTGCCAAGCTATTCTGCATCATTCAAACCTTATTTTAATGTTTTTCAAAACGGGATAGTTTGATTTTGTAAAATTCAAACTGAAGTTAGAGTATATCCATAGCCAGAGGAATGGAAAAGTAACAGAGATCTCAGAGTAAAATAATATACAAGGGAAAACCAAATAAATTTGAAGACTCAATCCGTGTTCGATGTAATTTTAGTGGCAGAAGAAAAATGAGATTGAGTTGAAGAAGGTGAAAAGTTGTGCTTCTGCGTCATCTGCCTGCGGGCGACTATGGAGGTACCAAGCGTGGAAGCGAAACGTATTACAGTATACAAACAAAATCAACAACCAACCCACCAGAATAGTAATACAATACTCCTCTTCCAACATTATTTTATTTTGGTTCAAATCAACAACTTTCTTGCTTTATACACGCCTCCTTGGTCAGTTTAATTTTTTTTAATCATGCTACTAGTCATATTATTAATCAGGTAAAACAATCTTTTAGCTACTAAATAATTACGATTCAAGCACACCAGCAGTCAAATCAAAAAACACAACTCATTATCTATTGGATAAAACATTATCTATATTTCCTATTGACAAATATGAACTGTGGCTTTATAAAGTGTCAACGGTCGTAGTTGTAGGCTATTAAGATTTCTCCTTCCCAATCTCATTCTCTGTATATATATATAAACCCACCTTTCTATTCTTTCCCAATAAACCAGTTTCGTGCTTTTCCATTTTTCATCAAACATTTTGACACACATTTTTCGCATTGGTTTATTGAGTTGAAGTTTAAGATGAGGCCTGGTGCGGAGTTGTATTTCTTTCAAGAACAGCCAAAGAAGGTGATCAATGGTCCTCGTCCTTCTCCTTTGATGATCAACAAAGATTCCCACATGATACGAAAGTCTTCAAGGTGTGTCGATGCACAAATCAATCTCCAGAGGCCACAGAGGATTAAACCCATCATCATTTACACTCAATCACCCAAGGTTATCCATACCAAGGCTAAAGATTTCATGGCTCTTGTTCAGAGACTCACTGGTAGGTCAAGCACCAGTCACAACGTGTCCACTGCTTCACTGCCTCAAGACACCTCTGAGAATCTTGGATCATATTTGTCTGATGGTTCCAACAACAACAGTAATGAAACAAGTTCAGCGAGGGGTGGTGAGAATTTGATAGAGAATGGTGCAATCGTTCCATGTAGTCCTTCTCACCTGGATTTTGCTGATATGCCACTTTTCACTCCAAATCCATCGGATCTCTTTTCCTCATCTCGGTCATCGGTGTTTAAATATTCTGATTCCCCATATGGGGTTTTGGGAAGTTTGATATCCCCTTCGGCTTTGGAATTCATGAAAGAACTGTCTGAATATTGATACCAACTCATTTGGGTGTTCATATTTGCTGGAGGGTTCAACTTGGTCTCGTTAAGTAATAGTTCAGTTTCTATGCTGAAATAGGTTGGTCTCTTTAGCCTTATTTCTTTCTTCTGTAAATTTTGTTGTATTAGTGTGACGGAGCCGAACAACTGCGACACTGGCTACCATCAAATTAGTGTGATCTATAGGCAGATTTAATTCAATTCATTCTTTCTGAACATGAGAAGAATATGTTCATCAGTTTCATTTGTTAGTGTAATTTCATCTCCCTTTCGTGTTCTGCTTTCATGTTCCTCTTTCGCTGCATAAAAACTGCTGATCGATCTGTAATCTTGTTTCTTCATATGCAAGCGTTTATAATATACCTCACTTCCTAATTCCCATTTCATCAGTTGTCTATAATTATTGGATCTGTTTCATACAAACATTTGGTCAGTCAACGCCGAGACAATTGTACAAGGTTCTCGGATCACTGTCTGGTTTGGCATTTTTGTCAACATATTACTTGAGTTATCTTGTTTCAAGTTTGGAAGATTTGTATCTTCAAAAGAAAAGTCAACTCCTTCGTTATTATCATATCATTTTCTTCGCTACGACTTGATTTATTTTAATGATGTGTTACTAATATTTAACATTTGCATACAGTTGTAGCTGATCATAGCTCCACCCACCTCCATATATATATATATATATTCTCGTTCGTTTCCTTACAGATCAGTTAATTAATAACAAAAGTTGTGGTTCGAAAACATGGTAATAATATATAAATGATAATATAGCGAGACAGATACGTGTCACTTAGGGTTTATTATGATAGCTAACAATGACTGGGCTTGGAAATTAACACATTTAAGAAAATTTTATTGGATGTTTTGGGGCTTATCTTTAATTGTTGAAGGAGACAAAAGATAATATTGATATAGACATTTGATGCTAAATCTTAGAGGGTGGTCTAGATTGAACTTTTTAGTTGAAAAAAGTTTGCAGTGCTGAAGTCTACGCTTGACTAGAAGCATTGCTAGTGTGAGAAAACCTTAATTGGTCTTGGAATGAATGGTAGAATTTCAAGCAGAAATATTTGACTCTGGCAGTACATGCACACACAGGGACATTTTCTTTAAGGAGAGGGCATTGCCTTTAACACCAACAGATTAATACAAAAAATTCTATAACCAAATAAAATTAGCCACGGACAAAAAAACTGATATGCTTCAGTAGTTTAAACGACTTATTTCCCTGTGAACAGAATATCAGATATTGCATGTGTTTTTGTCAAATATCTAATTTTGTTATATACTTTATATTTTTTTTTACTTTTTGAAAAGTGTTTATGGATGTATGTAAATACTCGTATATAGATTCTGAAAGAGTTCATGAGTCAGTAACAAAACGAGTTTCAACCGAATAAGACAAATAATTGATAGCTATTAACCATTCTCATCTCACCATCATTACTTATTTTACCTAATTTGTTTTAACTGTATAGGTGAATACGTATACATTTTTTTTCCATGAGATTATCCTTTAAATACTATAGACTTAATGAGACGGATGATCGATGTTTCGGAGAATCGAGAGTTATTTCTTAACAACTTTATATTGTTATTTTCTTCTATTTGAGAGACTGAGTATATGTTAGAAGCACTTCGACAGGTAATTATATTTATCAATTATTATAATTAAGTCTTAATGATTTAATAAATACAATCACTTTTTTTTTAATTTTTTTATATTTTATAAATTTTGAAATCGATTTTTCCATGAATCTTGCCTCTAAAATCTTAAAAGACATTTTGTCGAAGGTTGACCAACCATATGTAATGAGCGCATTGACCAAACAATTTATACGATACAATGTGATTTTTGTTTGTGTGAGAAATTGTTCTTTATAATTTATGAGAAATAGTTGAATGATTTCTTCTTATCATCATAAATTTGATTGAACTGGAAAAGGGACAACTAAGAAAAAACAAGCGATATGAGGAGGGAAACAGTGAATTGAGTATATTATATCGTATGTATAACTTAATTTTGACATTTCAGAAGCAACATTTGAAGGGATACGTTGTGCTATTTTGATATCAGAAAAAAAGATACTACGAGGAAAGGACTGCTTGAGTTCCAGGGTCGCCTTCAATGACTAACGAAACAAAGATCACTTCTTTGTAGTTTCTTGATTGAAAAACTTAAAGTCAATATATAGATTCTATTTTAGAGACATATTAACTCTTTTATTAAAAAGTATTATTATACACATAGTCAATTTCTGAGAGATGAAATTTATTTGAGATTGTGGTGTTAAGTCTAATGATATTTGGATTCGGATTTGAAATAAGGTCTTTTAGCTTTATGCTCTTAATACGTTAAGGTTAAGGGAATTGTATGGTATTAGACTTAATGATGATTGAAACAATAAATCTAAACACTGATTGAGACTCCAGGTTTAATGTCGATTAAGGTAATGATTTAATAGGAATGAAGTTACTAATGTTTGAAAGCAGCAGAAAAGTCATATAATGAAGGAAAAATATTTAAGGTTTTGGCTATAACATTAATAGATGGCTATAACATTTATCTCTTCCAACTTAATAAAAAATCATCCATCTTTTGTTTTAAAATAAATATATATTTTTTCCATATTTTGAATGAAACGATATTCACACTCTTTAATTTTTAAATACACATTAACTTTCTTTGTATTGAAAATAAATAAATATTCATTGTAACTTAGTACAATTTTAAATAAAACACTTTTATAATAAGATGCTATTACAAATTATTATTATTATTATTAGTAATAGTATTATATAAAATAAACAATACAAATTATGTTTAATTATATAATATTGTATATATTTTTTTAAAATATGTCAAACGTGGAAAAAAATATTTGTCATAATTTCTTGCGTCAACTATTAAGATATAATTTCTAAAAATGTAATTCATATTCGAATATTTAAGATATTTCAAGAAAATATAATTTTAAAAAATGTACTTCTTATTTTAATTTATCATGATTTCTTGTGTCAAATCCTATACTAAAATCAAATCTTATACTAATTCTCACAAACTTTAGTTCCAAATACAGTCTCACTTACCTTCAAATCCACTCAAATAAACAACAAAAAATTTATCTTTAAATCCTCTCAAATCCATTCAATCACTCTCCCCAAATTCATTCAAGTGAACAAAACCTTAGATTTTTGGAATCTTAAAAACAAACAATACCAATGCTTAATGTATGGTTTAAATTTTCTTATGTTTTTTTTTTATGAAAAATCATGCTCATAAATTAATTAATTTGAATTTTATTCATAAAAAATTTAATGTTTTATTCTTTTTTTTATTATAGATATAATTAGTTTATTTTCAATAAGCGTGATTTTTATCATGAGTTTAAAGTCGTTTGTTCTTTATATTTATTTATTTTAATAAATTTACAAATGATTCATGTAAAACATCCTAAATTAACAAATTAAAACCGTTAATTTAGATTATTATATAAATAATAAATATCAGTATAAAATAGTAAATTTATATATATTATGTATTGACATTTCTGAAAAATTTGTAGATATTTTTTTTAAATTAAAAAAAAAAAGACATTTCATATTGATGAGAAATAATTGATGAATAGCGTAGTATAAAGATGTACACCTATGTCTTCCTATTAGCAAATTTTCACATTGTGCTAGATAAAAATCATAACCACAAAATTAGTAAGCATAAGCTAGTGAATATTGCCCATAATTCTAATAATAAAAGATTCAATAATTCCAATCAATATCTAATATATTATACCATCTTCATAGCATACACAATCAATTAAACAATTAATTTTACTTCACACATAATATTCATCTTTCACTCTTAGATTAAGAATTCAATAACAATCATCAAATATTTATGTAATACAATTATCATGTCTTAATACTCATAATTCATTCATAACATAAACATATGAATTTTTCTTTTGGAAGGTCAATGTGATGAGTGATTGAGAGATTATGCACTTATCATGTTTCTCTCCAACCTTTCAAAAACTACTATGGGTTTGAGAATTAGAACTTGCAATCACAATCAAACCATGACAGGGTAAATTTCTATATTCGTGATATAAAAACCTTCACTGGCTCTCACCACTAAAAATTATACTCTACATGTGTATGATACTAGCCGAACCAGTATAGCTCCCACACAAAATCTCATCTCCATACACTACCTATCATTATTTCACATCAAAATATTTCATTCTATAAGTTACAATAATTCACAATAACATATAAAAATTCACATAGTTTACTCTACCATAATATCTTCAACCAAAGACCTCTAATTGACAATCACAATGGTTAAAGTAAAGAACTATGTTACAAAATTATGTATAAAAATTTTAGCCAAATTCAACCGTTAACAAATTAGAAAAAGGATTTTTACCGTAACAATACAAAACATCAAAAACAAAGTGACATTCATATTTCTCTAAAAAATGAGAAAATCATTTCTCTAACTACAGATATCTAATTATTGATCATGATGATCAAAATGCAAAATTAGATTTCATGGAATATCTTTCAAATTTTTAACCTGATATAATGGTTAAATAATTGGAAATATAGATTTTACAAAAATAACTCTCAAAAAACAGGATATGATGTTCAACTCCCTAAAATTGTGAAACTGACTTCAATAAACACAAATCTCTAATAAAAGATTTCAACGTCAAGATTGAAGAAATATATGTTACAAAAACCGTGTATAAAAGATTCAAGTCAATCCAACAATTAGAAAAGTATAAATGAGGGTTTTATTGAAACAATTCCAAATAAAGAAAAACAAAGTGACCTTTAGATTTCTCTCAAAATTGCAAAAGTTATTTCTTTGATCATAGACTTCTAATTATCAATCATAGCAGTTAGATTGAAAAAATATATGTTATGAATTATGTGTAAATTTTTTTGTTCCATTTAATAGTTAAAATTAAAAAAAAAAGGTTTTAATGAGATTACACACATTTCAATATTTTAAATCTCATTCCATTAATTCATTAGGATTACTCCAAATAAGCTTTACTCAGTGATTTTATCAAGATAACTCATAACTTTATATAATTAAAATATTATACACTAGAAATAAATAAAACCAAATAATATATAACAAGAATCAATTTACACTACAATAATTCATGGAAAGCATACAAATATAAAACATATCATAACATTCCAAATAAACCTAAACTCATATTACACAATACTCTTAGCTTCTCTTACTTCAACACAATCTCAAAAATCTATATATTTTAGTATCCAAATCAGTAACCTCTAACTAAAAACTATAAAACCAAACTCTAATCAGTGAAGAATGATTATGTGTAATTATTATTATATTGTTTTTTTATTCAAGTTTTGAAATTTTTGACATAGAC